CTATCAACGTATGTATGACAATATTCCTGCTGAAGTTCTGCATGTTGTCAGAATTGAANAGGTTTATGCCTCAGTGATAGGTGGAGCCAATTGAGTTGACCTGAGTACACGCTGAGAGATCAATCACGGTGTCTGAGCCATCATAATCCTCATCTTTTACACCGCGGAGAAGAATTCCCGTCATCGTTCCGCTCCATTACGCCATGATATTACTGCCGTCGTTTATCCATATCATGTATGAAATCAAATTGAGTCAATAGAGATGGAGGAAACTTAAAGTTTGCGACCTTACCACTGGTGTGTAACTCATACATGGGAGCCGCCGCCGAGTGGTAGGTTTGACTGTAAATCACATGTAAACTACGTGGTAGGGAGTTGAGAACAGAGCGTTAAAACACTTCTGGATTAACAGAAAATTGCCGTAGAGACAAATACTGCACAGGATAAGCAGCATTTAATTCAGATAAACGTACTTCTTACCATTTTTATACTGTTTTTTTTTCTCTAGTTTGATTGGTTGGCTGCAACTTGTTAGATATGGGTGCGTGCCCGACGTTAACAAATTTAGCACAAGAGTAGACATGCTATCCGGTCATATGGGTCATCTGGGCCGTAATGATCAAACACATCAGATTGAGTTTTCCCCATCTGCAATCTTGAAGAAGGAAAATTGGTTAGTAACATCGCGAAGAGAACCACACCTGTAGGAAGGCCCATAGGTACACTTAGCATTTTTTATTCCACTTTGTATTTTCTATGGGTACTTTGTATTTTCTATGGGTACTTTGTATTTTCTATGGGCACTTTGTATTTTCTATGGGTACTTTGTATTTTCTATGGGCACTTTGTATTTTCTATGGGCACTTTGTATTTTCTATGGGCACTTTGTATTTTCTATGGGCACTTTGTATTTTCTATGGGCTACTTTGTATTTTCTATGGGTACTTGTTTTTTTCTGTGTGTACTTCGCGAAGTTTTTTGGTGGCTGGCGAAGCGACATTCATTTTGCT